AGAGAGAGAGAGAGAGAGAGAGAGAGAGAGAGAGAGAGAGAGAGAGAAACCCCTGTGGAGTAAGTTACTCCTCTACGGTCGGCTCCACGTTTGCCGAGGGAGCGCTTGCTCACTAGGGACAAATTAGCCACACAGGAGCACTGAGGCATCATGGGAAATTAATGATCAGGACCTCCAGGAAGTGAGCTAATGAGTCCTAGTGCCAGACGCACATGTACACTATGAACCACGCACACACACACACACAGGATAAAAGACACGAGAAGGAGGGGGCGTCCTGCAGAAGGGAAACAGCCACACGTGCAGTTGCAGCAGCTATTAAAACAAAGCTACCAATGTAACGTTGTCCGGATGAGTGATAGTGCTGGAACAATAGTAATCTCACACACACACACTTCAGAGAATCAGATAATTAGAGGACCACCAGTGGCTTTCGCCCATGGAGGCGTAGTGTTTACTGTCACTACAACCTCCCCTGGGGCGTCTGACAACAACCAGGGAATTAATACTATCCACACACACACACACACACACACACACACACACACCTCATGCAACCAAGTGCAGTGGACCTAAATGTGGATATTGCAGAAGACAGTTACAGGGGCGATATGGCTTCCCACTGTTTGATTATCTTGTGTGTTGGGTCCCTGAATGCACCATTTGTCTTACTTGGCGATATAAAGTAGCCCAACTAGCCTACAAGCTAAATAAATGAAGAAGGAAGTGTACTTGTTGAAATCTGTGAACCAGCTGCTCAAAGGCACCTCACTGCAGGAGTACCTATGGGCAAACACCCTGCTACTGCTCAATGAATCTAAATTGTGTGTTGGAGCTTCTTGCGTGACATACGTTTAAATACGTTTTAGGAATTCGGCTCCAGGTGAGTCATGTCAAGTGGGAGCGGAGAGGACAGAGGGTCCCAGGCTTCCCTGGAAAACTGGAACAGTGACAGACTGTCTCCCCACACCAGTCGGCGCACCTCTCAAGGATTTAACCACTGCACACAGTACCACCACACCCTTGTCCACTGATTGGTCCGAAGTTTCCCCGGCACCGCCCTCAGCTCAGCGGATCCGCCCTTTCGACGCTGCTCAGCCTGTTGCTGCCAAACCAGCTGGCATTGCCAATTGATATCCTGTCTCGTGACTATGTACTCGAAACTCTAACCTTTACACTCAGGTTAGGTATATTTTATTACTTTTCAGAAAGAGATCAAGAGTTCATAACCACCATGCGGATCAACTCGGAGAAACTCTCAAGGAGACCCTTTCCCTGTGGAAGTTCACACCTCCCACTCTGCAGCCTGTGATTTAACCTGTTCTGGGTTTTATTTGAGTGACTTTAATCAGTTTGCTTTAATGCATCATGCGAAACTGCAGCAGCGCATGACTTAGACGTTTGTTGATGAGTTGGTGAAGCTGCTGGGGAAAGATTTTTTTATTTTATTGATTTTTTTTTTCCACCGGGCTCCTCACCTGATTTGCACGCCACTCCCAGCCGGTGCAGAGCCTCTCCGCGGCCCCCGCGCGGCGCTCAGGATGGGGACACCGGGAGCGCTGCCTGCGTGGAAAGCCACGATTTTCTTCTTTAACTTAATCTCTGCTGCCGTGGCGAAAAGGCACGTCGTGTATTGGAATTCTACAAATGCAAGGTGAGGAAAACTGCGCTAAATGATGCTCACATCCGGGACTTAAATGAGAAAAGTCTGTTTTTAGCGGCTCTAATTAAGAGCCACTGTTCATGTGGAGAGCAAGAATGTGGTTCCTTTTTGCGTAGCTGGTTTGAACCTGCGCTGCCACGCTGTTGCACAACGGCCACAGTAATTCCTACTAAGTGAGTCAGACGTGTGTTGGTTTGCAGAGCCTCTGCTATGCGCCTTCACGTCCTCTGACTTGATAAAGAGTGCAGAGCAGGTATGATTACCTGAAGCCTGCCCTCGCCCAAAAGCTAGGCCTTGTAGGGGTTTCACTGAGTGGCCTGATCTCACCTTTTTCCCGCAACTATCTTTATCATAATGACTACACTCTAACACCGGCTTTCACCTGTCCACTGGCTTTTGGAGTTGGTTATTATTCCACTTGTAGAAAGCCAGAAGTAAGGGTGTCTCATAAGCGTTTGTTCTAAATAGTGTGCTAGATAGCATTCTGAGGACACAGGTGTATATTAAAGTCTAAAGTGCTGCTGTGCATAAGCGAATATGTTGGATAATGGGAAGGTAGGTGTGTGTGTCAGTAAGAGAGTTGATTGGGGCCATTAGCGAGGCAGAGTTAGGCTCACGTGCTGATCCAGGTGTTCCAGTCTGGCTAATTGAAGGGTTGGGGTGGGAGACCTGCACTGTCCAAAACAACACAGCCTCTCACTTGCTTATTTAGAGACTCTCGCTCTCTGCCGGGCCTGATTCCCTAAACACTGTTTTAGATGAATTACCTTTTTTTAGTTAATAGCCGTTGGCCACCGAGACCACTCTTGTCAATGACTGTTTTGTCTTGCATTTATGGATGCACAAACGTACAGAGATATGACTCCTGGGACGGATCATTTCCCCGAGGGCTCCTTTGTCAGATCTGCAGGACTCATCCTGGAGTCGGCCGAGGTTGTATCCGGTGTGTCCAAGCGGGTAAAACCCAGACCTGTAATTGGGATCCAACAGAAATGTGGTGGGGAGGAACGCCGAGGATTAGGAAGCACCTTCTTGTTCCCCTGGGATTCAGGGATGAATGGTCACAGTCTGTGGCAGGGCCACACAGTTGGCTGCAACGCCACACAATCATAATGCCATCAGCATCATGGCGGAGGGTAACCCACTGTGGCAGAGAATCACTCTCATCAGCAACACCACCCAATCACAAAGCTATCAGCGGAGCCGAGATGTTGCACCCGGTCCAGAATCCCCTGGGTTTACCACTAGGACTCTTTTTCATTCCTCTGCTCTCCTCTCTCCTCACTCTTCATTACCTCCCTTGTTACATCCAGCTCTCCTTTTCATTTTTTTTTTTTTTTTTGTCTGCACCTCCCCCCCCTTCCTCCTCCTTCACCCCCTTTATCTCTCACGACTCCCTCCTGCCCAGTGATGGATATTGGCGGTGTGATTAGTTGAGCCTCAGTCATTTTCCCACACCATATTTTCGATTAGCAGCCAGCCAGCCAGCCAGGTTGTCCTGAAGCCTGTAAATGTAGCCTGGCGAGGGGGGGGGGGAAAGCACAGGGACAGGAGAGCGATGCTTTTTTTTGGCATGATGCCGCACTGCAGAGTCCGGGGTGCCAGCGATGCCCATGGCACTCTAGATCACAATATCACCACATTTGGCTTTTTGTTTATTTGTCCACAATGTTGTCATGGTTTAAAACTGCTCCAATCAGTATTCCCACATCAACAATAGACCAGATTGCTGTCTTATGTGAAAGTCTCTTGTAGTGACAAACCCAAAGTGAATTATTAGCTGACTCTGCGAGCATTTAGCATCTTTCAGCTCATTGTTTTGGTTTAAGAGCCAGCAACTTTACGGTTTAGATTCAGCCTCACCGTTGTTCAAAGCGACATTGATCTCTCATAAAGCCACATGAGCAACCTGGTCGACAGCAAACGGCAGTCAGAGACTAGTAGAGCATTTAGCAGTTAAAGAGACGGATGTTTCCCTCAGAAGTCGGTGGAGAACAAAACAGCAAATCTTGGTCATAGAAGAGAGTGAATTTTGAACACCAGGTGGCCAGAAACAGGACTTGAGATGCTAATGTTGAACCGTGTCTGCTACGTCTGTAAATGGGCAACTGTTTGCTGCCAACACCACGACTATACACGCTAATATGTCGATGTTGTGTTTTCCTAAATCAGTTAATGTAGGTTTATATATCATATTTGAAATTTATTGGAACATATTAGCGGATTGTTCTGTGTTCTCCGGTTGTTCAAACCTTCTTGGCAAATGTTGCAGTTGTAGGAAATTCATTGTTCCTGCCATCTCTGACAAATGGAGAGAAGAGGAGCGGGCTGCCATTACTCTAAAGGCTCAGCTCGTATATAACATAACCGGAGCTGGAGACCAAACCGGCACATCTTTAATACAGATGACAGAAGACATTCTCTGGCCATCACCTTTTCTTTCGACATCTAGATTTATGGTTTTAATGAAGCAGGGGCAGTCAAGTGGAGACTGAAGGGCCTTGTTGCTCTGCCCTTCGCTGGCTAATATGGCTGTAACAAAGGCTCGCTGAAGCACTTTAACTGGCACACATTTAGCACCCTCCAGATTGAAAAATGGAGCTTTGAAATGGGGAGCGAGAGAGTGACTGCAGGGTCAGCGTCGAACATCGTGGAATCAAGATGCCCTGCTCTGTTTCGTTGTGGGGCTCAAGAGGGTCGATTGCCCTTTTATGATTTTTATGAACAGAGTTTACGATCGTTCTCGGTTTTATAACGGTGTTTCTCTCAGAGCGATAGTTAGCAAGCTCAGACTAGTTTATTGGTATATTCAGCCCCCTCCTCTGAGCCGCGGTGTGCTTTAAAACCTGTTGGGCAAAATAAGTTGACCAGCCTTCTTGCTGACACAACAGTGTCTGCTTCTTGTGCCACATTCTTCCGCATACATTCACTCAAGATCTGTCAGCTAGTTTACACAGAGCAACACAACTTTAAGGCTTGAATTTCGTGTTTTTGTGCAAGAGATTGCTTGAAACAAGCTTTTATCATTAATATACGGGTTGCTTACACATCTGTAACAAGAATAAATGTCACCCGAACCTGAACTTTTTAAATCGGCTACTCCATTCCCCTGTCCTCAGACTTACCCTCGGTCTATGCTTGCACCTCTGCTATTGCTTTCCCTCTTCTCCGACATGGTAGGAGGCCAACTTCTTCCAACAGTTCCTCTGATCGCAGCTCCAAACTGTTGTTTCCAGACTCCTCTTTTCTTTGCAGAGTGGCGGATTATCTGGGTGTCAATTGGAGATATGTTTTTTTTGGCCTTTTACAAAAAAAGATGCTGAACAATAAGGAATGTTGTGAACAATAAGGAATGTTGTAAACAATTTCTCTTACCCGTTTCCTTGTCTCTCGCTCACGTTGGAACTCGCTCACAAGTTTGGACACAGACCTTTAGAGCATTTACAGCGACACCAGAGCCCTATGAACTCTCTGTGTGTCTCTCTCTCCCCTCTTCTGACACAAGCTCAGGGCGAGCTCCAAGCCACTGAAGCATGTTTAAACGGTGCGTGAGGAGATGAATATTTGTTTTGGTTTTCTGTATCTTTATTGAAAGCGGCCCTCATAAGTCTTCCGTGTAATCTCTGCTCTGTTTATGCATCATTTCCCTTTGTGTGCACTCATGAATGATCTAGTTTAAATACCAAAGTAAATCACATTCTGCATGCCATACCTTCTCTCACACACACACACACACACACACATGCAGTGTACAGTAAAGTGAAAGCAGACAGTGTTTGTAATCACATCTTGTCAGAAGAGATGATTGCACTCCTAGACTGATTTATTTTTTTTTTTTATTGTGTTTTGTATTATTTCGTCACCCGCTGATGTGTCCGCCTCTGTTCCAAATGACTGTGTGTGCGTGTGTGTGCGTGCAAATGAATGTGTTCCTCATACTACCTGCTCTCTCCTCACTGCGTCTGTCTCCGTACTAATCTCTGTCTTCCCCTGGTAAATGATTAACATGGAGAACCCGGCTGAACTATAATCAACAAACCCACAGTGAGGTAATTACCACTTTATTCCCCGTCCTGCTAACAAAGCAATCTCTCTCTCTCTCTCCCACCTCTCTCTGTTTCTCTCTCTCTCTCCTCATCTGTCATCTAACTGTATCGGTGTCTCCCTCCTTCTCTGCGTCAATGCCGATTGTCTCCCTCGCTGCTGTGCTGTGGTCTGTGTAGATCCAGAGACTGTGTACCTTATCTGTCTCCTGTAAATGTGCCTCGGCTTGTTTGTTTGTGGTGTTGAGTGTATTATCTGGAGGTAAACTGTGGATGTGTACACTCGAGCTTCTTCGTCTCTGTCGGAAAGCAATGCGAGGCCGTGATTTTTAGTGATGTGTACGCCTGTGAATTGACATTGGACGACATTGTTGTCAGTTGAAGTTCATCTCAGTGGAACAATAGCTCTGTTAGAGGTGTGTGTGTGTGCGTGCGTGCGTGTTTGTGTGGGTTTTTGCACTGACCTGCTGGTTTGCGTAAAAGGGCACTTTTAGGTTCCTCGAGAAGAGATAGTGTGATAACTTTCAGTTCTGGGGAAAACAAAACCCGGCAATGCACCAGGATGCCCAGCCCTATTAAAACACACGTGACGCTTCGTGATTCATGCTTTATACAAGTTTTTTGAGATTTCTCTTCTGCTCACAGCAAGTAGTGCAAGTAGCTTTGACTGGAAAAACTCTAAATTCCGTCCGGCGGTGTGCATCTGTGGGAACATTTACCAACTGCTGTGCCGGCCTCTCGTCTAAATAGGTCATTGTTTAGTTTCCACTCGTTAGTCGATGTTGGGTGTGACTGAAATGTTACAGGGAAAAGGCGTGTTATTGCCTTTGGATGCTTGGGTTTTTTTTTGGAGGTGGGGCATGCAGAATGAGTATTGTGCAACCATGTCTTATGCGCTAAAGTGTCACAAGGCCTCATTTTGTGAAGTATTACAGGTGTTACTTTACA